TGTGCAGAAGTGTATGTATTAGACCCCCAGTCCGGGTCAATAACATATTTACTTGAATATAAAATGACCCGGATTGTAAGATGACTGCCCAATAATTAGATTCTATATATAGAAAATTTATAAATTTGATAAACTTTTCCAGGGATAGACACTAATTATTGGGGGTTTGTCTTGAATTTGTCCCTTTCCCACTGCTACAGCAATGAAAATAAATCTGGGGGGTCAGATTTATTAGCCCTTTGCCCTCTGCTCTCCCTAACTTCTTCACCCTGTAGCCTGTCCCCTGCCTTCTTACTTTCAGATGCTGCTCTCCCTGAGCACATAGAAGTGAGGAACATGTATGAAAAAAACTGACCTTGAAATAAATATAGCTGTAGCAATTTGCATATAGTCATCATATATTTAGTTTACTCATAATTAACATATTTTACATTTTTTGAAACTGCTGCAAGATTTAGGACAGGTACTCCACAAACACACTTTTAACTAGCATTTTGGCACCTACTTAGAGAAAATACAAACTATGCATGATATTAGTCCAGGACCAAAAGGCTTGTAATTTACCATATGGAAAATTGGGCTGGGCCCCGAAAGAGTCCGCAGCATTTCAAGATATGGTGACTTCACAGCTCAGCACCACTCAGTATGTGTGTGTACTCCAGATACCCCTCACAAAGGAGCTATGTGATAATTAGTCCCGAGTCATGACTCAAACTGGGTGTTCTTGTCATAAGTCCTGGGATCCTTCAAAAATTGATATGCAGATGAGGTATAGAGCAACCTGATCTGGCTTCATCATACAGGGGGGCACACTAATCATACAGGGCAGGCTGAGAGTGGAAGCAACAGAGGGACTCTGGGTGAATTCTTGGGGCCCTGTTTGGTGATCTTTGCCAGATATTTAAGGCTCGTGACAAAATAGGAATAGTGGCAATGGGAAAGAAAGGTGTAGCTCAGCTATGGGAGTAAAGAGGAAGTTGAAATATATGCAATGTAGTGGCTTACCAAGACTTTAGAAAGAGTTGGCACTAGGGGACTGCACTCCATGGGCACTGCCATACATTTTATTCAGGTAGGCTGCACTAATCTATTCTTGTGGTAGGTTCCCAGGGGAGATGTTAGGATCACCGCCATGGTGGAAGGTATTTTTGATCTAGGTGGTTTTGTTGTACTTAGAAAGGGAGTTCCCCTTCTCCCTGTCCTTGAATGGCTTTGTGTAGCTGAAGGTAGAGACTTGTCCATTGCACTGTGGGCAGGCACCCATATGAGAGTCTACTATAGCCTACCAATGGGAGGATTTCAGCTATGTGCTTTATTTTATGGAGATGGGGGGTTTTCTCCCTAGCTTGGTACTCATAAATGTTAATGAAATCAGGATTACTTCACTCCTGTGAGGTATGGATCCCTCCACAGTTTACACAAAGAGAATTAAATCATGGCAAGACAGGGTAACAGGCAGGGATGGATTAACCCTTTAGTGGGCCCTAGGCAAAAAAACTTGTGGGCCCTGGGCTGGTCAAGACCCCTCTCCCCATCCCAGCACTGCCTCCCTCAGGCAGTGGGTCTTGGAGCCACTGCTAAGAAGCAGCCACCACCGCAGCAAGGCCTTCAGAGGGGAAGGGAGGGAAGGGAAGGGAGCCAGATGGGGACATTCATGCTGCTGCTGTGGAGGGAAGAACACCCCCTTGCCCCCGCGCAGCTCAGGACCCTAGGCATGTGCCGAGTTTGCCTATGCATTAATTTGGCCCTGGTAACAGGCCCAAGATCTCACATAGGGACAGTCTACTATAGAAGGGAATTCGACTCAGATGGCTGCACCCCAAATAGACGGCCCATGCACAACTACCCTTCCTCTTTCAGAAGGCCTGTAGACTTAACATAAATAGGACTAAACATTTTCCCATTAAAACAGAGACAGACATAGGGATAACAGGGTGACCCTGACTCTGAGGAACTGAGAGCTACTGTATTCACATAGAAGATGTAAGCTTTTGTTCTTTCTTCTCATTCACATGGAGTTGGATTGGATCATGATGGAGAAGGAGAAGGACAGTTTTTATTGTGTTTTGTGTGAGTAGGGCAGGAGTCAGCACATTTCTGGGAAGGGTGGATGGCATAATGCTTCATAAGAAATGCCAATACCAGCCCTGATTGCAACATCCTGTTACTTGGGGATTAAACAGAAACTTCTGCCAAGAGAATGTAGTTTGGAAATCTTCATCAAGGACATTTCCAGTGTTGTTTTATACTACTCACCCTCTTTCTAGCCAATGGGAGGATGGGATGATTTGTGCTATGAACTCACTAAGGTCATGGATGCACATGTAACTTACTGCAGAGTGAAAGCAAACAGGGCTTTACCATCCACAGCTGCTCTGTGGCAGCTGCCTGTACATATGCTCTTATCCCACAGGAAGTGAAAGCTGGATTGTAGCAGCTTACTTTCCTTCATTAAGGGCTAGTGTGCGCATCTACATGAGATGCTTAACTGCACAGTAGCATAGTTTATTGCACAGTAAGCATGTGCATCTACACATGCACATTCTTACTATGCAGTAAACCTTGCTAATCATGAGTAAATTTGCTACCTGAAAATGCAAATTTACTTTCAGTTAGTAATGGTGCAGCAGCACTTGTGTAGATACCAAAGCAAATCTGGTCCTGGTAAGCCAACTACCAGAGGATGAGAGATTGATCCCTGACCCCGAGAGCTGTCTGCTGCCAGGGCAGACCCTACCACTAGAGCCTGGGCAGGGACTATGTCCTTGTGCACTGGCAGCAGGGAGCTCTGAGCCCCCTGCTCCAAGATCACAGTTGGGGACTAGGGGCTGAGAGATCTTTATGTCCCAGCACCCTGTGATGTGGAGCTAGCACTGGAAGATAAGGGTCTCCCAGCACTGGTCCTGGAGTCATGGAGCTGGTGCTGGGAGATAAAGATCTTCCAGCGCCAGCCCCACAGTTGTGGAGCTGGCACTGGGAGATAAGGGTCTCCTACCCCAAGCCCCACGTCCATGGAGCTCAGCCTGGGAGATGAGAGCCTCCCAGTATTGGCCCCATGGTGCACAGCTGGCACTGGGCGCTCCAGTCTGGTGGGGGCTGAGGAGCTGGCTCCCTGCCCAGCTCTGTCAGCATTGAGCTGAGCGGGGAACAGGCTGGGGAGCTTATTTCCCTCTCAGATCTGTGCTCGCAGAGCTGAAAGGGGAACAAGCTCCCAGCTTGTTCTCCACCCAGTTCCATGCTCACAGAGCTGAGTGGGGACCAGGCTCCCCAGCCTCCATTTTGCAATTGCAGAGCTGGGGCTGGGAACTATCCTGATCAGGGACAGGTCCCAGCCCCGTGCCCCAATCAAGGAATAGGGCTTGGAAAGAGCTGCAGGGGTGGGGTATGTCCAGGTCCCCTGCCCCAGTCTGTGGGTGGGGCAGGCTAGGTGCCCCACTCATGGATGGCTGCAGGGGGCTGGGACCTGCCCCTCCCCTGCAGCTCTTTCCAAGTCCCCTGCCTCTGACTGGGGAGCAAGGGCCAGAAACTCCCTGTTGCCAGGGCAGAGGGACATTGTCCTCACCCTGGCATCAGGCAGCCTCCATGGAAAGGGTGTAATGTCCCAGCCCTGGCCAGGAGACAATTGTCTCCTGGCCTAGTACTACCTGCCAGTCCCTGGGCTAGCACCCAGAGGGAACCTAGAGGTCCCCCAGGTGGTGGTAGGGGCCCATTGCAGGGCTCCATGTAGTGGGAGCAGTTTGCTGCCATTAGCAGCAAATCTTCTTCCTCTTCCCTGCATGTGTAGACACCTGCCCTGGAGTGTTTATTTGTGAGTAGTTTACTCACGAGTAAAATGATCTTGGATCAAATACATGAGTAGACATGCCCAGTCTGTCATGGTTTAACTTCCAGTTGTGACAGAATGAGGTTGTACACATGGGCAGTTACCACAGGGCAGCTGATACACAAAAAAGCATCATCCTCTTTTGTCCCATCATAAGATGTAGGTGTGTCCATTCAGACTGTAAGGTCCTCAGAAAAGGGACCACCTCTCATTCTGTATTTGTGTAGTGCTCAGTGCAATGTGGATGCCTTGACTCAGAATGGATCCCTACATGCTGTTGTAGTACCAATACTTTTTTAGAAGCTTGCAGAATACCAATGGCTAGATATGCTAGGCTGAGATGTAATGAGGAGTCAGAAAAGCAAATTAAGAGAAGTTCCTGGAGAAGCATTTTCTCACCAAGTTCAGAGAAAGGGTGGTGCACTGGCAAATGATGGAAGCTCTAATGAGGTTTTTTATTTTTATTTCATTTAATAATATTTTTATAAACTCCATCTCTTGATCCTGGATTATCAGATGACAAGCTACTTTCTGCATGTCCCCACCCTGTATATCCTTCTGCCCCCCCTGTGACGGATGGTTCACAGGAACATGTCAAGCTACCAAATCTAGTCAACACCAGCAAATACTGTCTGAAAGGGTTTTGGTATTTATTATTACACAGGTGAGTCAAAGAACTGGCTATCAAGCTATGGCTGGGATTTTCAAATGGCACTAAGTGGATTAGGTGTCTAACAACTGAACATTTAGATTCCTTTAAACATCTTAGCCTGATTTATTCAGCCTCAGTTCTGCAACTGGGTCTGAAAGGACTTTTGTATCCATGCATAGCCACTATAGTGGCTCCCTGAACATAGACATATTGGAAAGTAAGGTCTGATGAAATATATTCAGCTGATCTTACAGTGTGAATTTTGGTGGGACACATCAAAGAGATCCAGGAGCCCAAGTCTTACTGAAGAATCTACTTTTTCATCTGGGGAAGTATTTAGAAATGGCTTCATAACCTCATGAAAAATATATAATCTGCCCTTTTCCTGTTTAAATTTACTTTTTTTCTTGTCATTTTATAAAATGTATGTAGAAATTATAGTTTATTATATATTAATTATATTTAAAAATACTGGTTACATTTGAGCCAAAGGTATTAAGGTTTCAAATGCATTTTTATTTACAGAAAACTCAGTGTCTTAAACCTCAGAAATTCCAGCCTCTGAAAATGGAAGACCTGCAGCATTATGAGACAGTAACTACATTCTTCTAAAAAAACCAAGTATATTGAACAGGATGGTTGATCCAGCATGCAAGAACAAAAAAGGTAGACCTACACCACTGGAAATGTGTCTCAGCATAATAAAAAGCATCTGACTTCTGAACTAGACTCAGGTGTACCTGAGGGACAACAAACAAAACTAATGCACTCTAACCCTTCTCCCACTGACATTAGCAGCCGATCCTCTGCTTCACTTCAGTGGTGTAGGATCAGTCCTATAAACACTGTATAGAAGTTCTCCTAGAGCTGGCTTCCAGATGTGAATGATGAACTGGCAAACAGCTGGGTCTGGGCTATGAAAGACTTTTCTTTCCCAGTTTGCAAGTCCTTGATGCAAACAGTAGGGGAAAGCAGAAGATTCCTTATGACCCCCCTTCTCCACATAGCTTGGGAGTGAGGTTGAAAATAAGAACTAAATTAGAAATTAAAATACAGTAAAAGCTGTGTTAACTGGCATGTTGCTAACCAGAATACTCTATTAACCAGAATGTCCAGTATCCCCCAATACAAATCCTCACTTTAGCAACCAGAATCTTTGCTGAGTTTATCCAGCATGAGCATACACATGTGCATCAAGTATTTGCAGTACAAATATGGCACTGTTTTCCATATAACTCTCAGATAACCAGAATTTTTAGATAATCAGCACCTCCTAACCCTACTCATGCCAGATAACAAAGATTTTACTGTACTATGCAACTATGAAACCAGATATTTTTATGATGAAACTGTATTTAATTTAAAATAAAGTTTTACCAGAAAAATTGTTTTTTCATTTTTATGGGAAAATTTTAAATTCAAATGAAATTTAATTTACCTTCAAAATGCATTTTCATTTAATTTTATTTCCACCCAAACAGCTTTTTTCTTAAATTCATGCTTTTCTTCTCCCCCCCACATCCTCTCCTTTTGCTATAATTAAAAAAAGAAAGAATGAATATTTCAAGGTTTCAAGTTTCTCCTTGTTTCTCTTCTATACAACTTTACAAAACTTCTTCAGCTTTGGAAAAGTTCCAGGAGAGCAAATGGAAAAAAAGAATCCATTGTAAACATTCTACCTGGCTGAAGGGTGAAGTTGAAAACATTTTGACAAGTGAGCAAAAAAAGAAAGAAACTTTGCTCAGTGTTGGTTATTATTCACTTATTGCAACTAGTAGTGAAAAAATATGAGAAGAGCAATTTAAAACATTTTTAAAAAACATTTAAAAAAAGTTTCAGCTAGAGCCCTGTAAAATGCAAACAACTGCACCATTTTGAAATTGGCTGTGAAATTATTATAACACTTTTCAAATGCTCCCAGTAGAGAAAGACCTAGGGATTTTTTTTAAAACCATAATTTGTAATAAAAAGTCCTAGCATATGACAAAGTTGCCTATGAAAGCTCATGCCTCACTGAACAACTTAGTTTATAAGGTGCCACACCACCCTACCTTCTACCACCCTGACTTCAGGCTAACTTGGCTAATTACTTCTGCACATATAAATATAAATACTGTATTTTCTCACATACAAGATCCTTCAAAATATAATACATATCTTGTTTTTGAAAGGCAGAATGAAGGTAATATATTTTTCCAGAATAATCACTTTACAAAATAGGTTCAGATCCTAATTTTCATCTGAATCACCCTCCCTTTCCTGATTAACTAAAGCGGAAACCCTAGTTGCTATTGAAGACTGATCTCCATGATTAGATCTATGTTTCTGAAAAGAGCTAAAGAGTCTCTGAGGCTGAGAAATAGGAAGAGAGAAACAAGAAGCAGCAAGCAGACAACAAAATTGTCTTAAGAAAGGTTAGCTTGATTAGTGGACCATCAAGATCATTAAAAAAGGAGAGAAGATTGTGAACATGTCTAAAGCGAAGAATAATAAGACTTTAAATCAATTTACTCCCTCTGCTCTCTGAATAGTAATGCAACAGCTGCTGAAATGTGGAGCAAGAAGCAAAGCAGGGTGCTTTTATTTCAGTTAGAAAATCAGCCTCCCCGCCAAACACACATGCCCCAACTTTGGGGCTTGATTTTTGGGGAAAAGTATATTTTCTATGTGAGACCATATGGTAATATCTGGCTCTTGTACAAGGTTTGTCATCAGTGGGTGTGTCTACACATGCAAAAGATCTGGGAGCAATTTACTCTCAAGTGAACTACTCGAGAGTAAATGCTCCTGTGCACATGTCTACATGTGCAGGGATGTGGGAGCAGATTTGTTGCTCCTAGTGGCAGACTGTTTCCACTCCCTGCAGTGCTGCAACAGACCCCTGGAGCATCCAGGGAGAGCTCTAGGCTCCCCCTGACTACTAGCCCAGGGGCCAGGGGACAGCTGTTGCCTGGTGGGGACTGAGACAATTCTCCCTGCCCCCTGGGAGCTGCCTGCTGTCAGGGTGCACTTCGCCAATAGGGCCTGGGCGGGGACAATATCCTCCCGCTTTGGCAGCAGGTACGTCGCAGCCCCCACTCCATGATCACAGGGTGGGGGCTGGGAGTTCCTCATATCCCAGTGCCAGCTCTGTGGTCATGTGCCAAGCTTCATGTTGCTGGTGCAGGGGGAGATTGTCCCCAGCCAGGTTCCTGTGGCAGAGCCTGCCTCAGCAACAGGCAGCTCCCAGGGGCAGGGAGCAATCTCCCACCCCCTGCTGCCTGGCTGACTGGGAGCACAACTGCTTCCAGCCAGGCATCTACATGTGTGGTACTGTGCAGTTACAAATCATGAGTAAATTTGCTACTTGCATTTGCAGGTACCAAATTTACTCATGATTAGAGCCAATTACTGCTCAGTAAGTGTCTGCACATGTAGACATGGACACTTACTGGGCAGTAATTAGCTCTACTGCACAGTAAAGCATATCATGTAGACGTGCCCATTAGGTGCTGAAACTCTTTAAAAGGGAGGAAAATATCATAATCTTCATTTTACAGAATGGGAAAGTGAGGCACAGCGAGGGGATGACAGGCACAGAGAGTGAGTGGCTTGCTCAAGATCACCCTTTCAGACGGGGAATAGAATCTGAGCCTCACCTCAGAAGTAATAGCTCACTTAAAGCCATGCCTGATTTAGGCCAAGACTACCTTCTGCCATTTTGTAAATGCACAACTGATTGCAAGGCATCTCTTACTCCCTACTTTTCCCATTGGAGAAGTAGTTAGCCACAGGCCCTGTGATCAGTCAAATGTTCTCCCTCAATACACCCCCAAGAATTAGCAAATCAGTTCCCAAAACATTCCCTCCCAAAACATGCACCAATCTACATAGCCTTGTTACACAGGATAGCAAAGCTTTTGCACTTCCACCCTATGCTATAGGAGAGACTGAGTCCTCTGAGACATAATCTCTCCTGGAGAAGTGGGGCTGCAGGCTCTCTCTTGCTTTAAGGCACAATCCTGCCCTTTTTCTGGATTGTCTCATGCATATTTTGTCTTCATTTGTCCCTGTAGATTGCAAAGCCTTTGATACAGGAACCTGTTATCTACTTGGCACTGGCTTAGTGCTGTCTAGCGACATGCCTGTATATAGTGCTATACAAATGACTGATTGCAACTAATGCTGACTAGTTTTTTGGGGACTGGCATCAAACTCTTCCAGTGTATAGTCAATAAACCGCAAAAGCAGCTTCTGAGCAAGCAGCTTTTTCCCACTGGGGGGGGGGAGACAGAATCAAAGCAGGGTTTTTTTTGTGGACAAATTGTTGAAATTTTTCATTTTTTGTAAACATTTCCATGGTTTTAAAAAAATATTTTAAAATCTCATTAATTTTCTCCTCAATTTCTGAAAAATGATACAATTTTGGACAGAAAAAAATCAAAATAATACTGTAGAAGGGAATAGGAAAAAATAAGGGGACTACTCTAGATATTTCGATATGGCTACATTTCAAATGCTAGCCACTCTATCCTCATTTTGGTTTCTGGTCTACTATAATGCTCACACAGCTGGCACTGAAGGCACACTTGGGGCATATGTTCTGAGGTACTTGTCGAAAACTCATTCAGGTCCATCGGAGCCTTTCCATTGCTTTTAGCAGGTATTGGATTGAGGCCCCTCAGCTGCACACACCTGTGACATACAGCTGATGCCCCTGTGTGAAATGCTAAAGGTTCAAAGCCATCATTGTTTTCCTCTTATAATTCACTGAATTGATGCATGACCCACTGAGGTCAGTGGAAAAGCTTCCATTGACTTGGAAAGTGTATGGTTCAACCCCAGTGCCCCAGCCTTTCCAAGGCTCTTGGGTGCATTAATTAGCAGTTAAAATGTGTACCGTATTTCATTCCTTTTTCATGAAGATCAATCTCATGCTGCCCACAGCTTAAAAACTGATTGCTAATATATAATGCTTGCTAATATTGTTGAATTTTATGTAATTCTGACAAATACTGTTTGCCAGAACTGCTAAGTCTTAATAAACCATTGCTAAAATGCTGTGTTTTATCATATTACTACATCAGAATAAGGCATAGCTAAAAATGGCTGTGTCCTAATAAGACTTGGTTAGAATGAAGAAGGAATATCGGGCCAATTTCTTAGAGGCATAGCCACCATTCAGGAAAGGGGAATTACAAGTGGTAGGCCAAATTCTGCCCAGATTTACACTTCATGTTATCCTACTGAAGTCCCAATTTCAGGTTACAAACAAAAAACCATTGTGGGGCTTTTCCAAAAGGACCTAGACTATACTGAGCTCCTTGCAAGTTCAAAGTCTGCTCTGAAATCAGTGGATGTAGAGGTAGCTTGATTAGAAAAAAACCCTCATTTATGTTGTCCCAGGAGCAATTTTTTTTAGGGTTAACTGCTGCTCTATATTAAACAGCTCCTGTTTGTATCAAAGGACGACTGCACTCATTTTGTACCAATTGTTTTTTCAGTTAAAGGATATAGTTATACAGACAACTGAAAGTGCTGCTTATAAAATGATTCGCAATAAATTCTGATTCATTCTGTTAACGCCTGCCAAATTTCCCTGCTGCTTTTGAACAATTTGCTTCTAGCCTA